GGGGCGTAACCATTGGATTTAACATAACCAAAGTAATTATAAGTTAAACCAAAGTGAATTAAGCACATCTAGATAAAATGTAGTATATATACTCTTCAATTTTTTCCAAAAGAATATATAGAAGAAGAACACAAAGTTACATGTGAAGTGAATTGGTGTGGAGCACAAACTCGTAATTAATTCAAAATTAGCAAATATTATAAATGTGAAGAGAAATATGAACACTAATAGTTAGTTAATTACTTACACATCTTCCCAAATCCATTAACTACTTTGTTTTTTCTTTTGTCAAATAGGTGAAGGAGGAGGATTAATTAATATATAGTGGACTAGATCGGGCTAGTTGGGCCCAATAGAGTAAGCGGTTGATTTTATTCGAAAGGCCCAAGGCAAATATATGTACGTCTGTGTTTAACATACGTGTTTCCCAATCACAAAAACTGAGGCAAAGAAAAACAAAATCAGAGACAACCCTAATCTGACCATGAGCCGAATCATTCTGAGATCCGTCATCGCTCAGCTTACTCGCGGAGCTATGACTCGCCGCCATTTCTCTTCGCCCGTAGGTAACCTGGGCAAGGAAGCAAAAGACGGAGGAGTTATCAAGCTAAACATCTCGCTCAGGTTACTTTGCAGCAATCCCGGTGGGATTTTGCGGAGGTATGGAGAGAGTTTTGTTATTCCCCTTACTTGATTAATTAGCTTGTGATTATTATTGTTTGTATTAAGGTTATGTCTTGGAAAAAAACACCATAGAGGAAAAAAAGAAGGATATTGAGTCAGAGGTTAGAAAATAAAAATTGGATGAAATCTTGTGAACATTGCTCATCATTTCATCCTCTCTTTTCAGTATGCAAGGAAGTACGCTGTTGGAAACTCGGACCTCTAGGGAGCAACTAATCCGTATCTCAAGGATTTAAAATAAGAAAGAGTTTGTGTTTAGTCTTATCTTTGATGTTGTGCGTGTTTATTGTCGGCTTGTTTTAGTCTTATGTTTGATCAACGCTTGTGGTGATTTTGTGGAATTACGATTTAATCAATCTTGGAGCTAGTTGTGTACTGAGAAAACCAACCAACACACAGCAAATGCTATTATTATCAGTCATGTGTTTGAAAATGTAAATGATAGTACTCGAAACAACAAGTTGTTGGATGGTAATACTTGCAAGCTTATATCGTTCGTTTTACTACTTTCTCCACTAATTCACAGTGTAAGATTTGTTTACAATTTCTACCAACTCATGTTTTGTAATGCCACCACTTCAACCCAAATGATATGTCGGTAGCAACTTTTTTCCTCCACTTATCTATCAAATCATAATCACTTTAAAACCCAAGTCAACTTAGACATAGCATGTTGCTTCCACCCAAACTACACAGAACATATGTTTTCACCTTACTGATCAGCCAAATCGGCATTTTTTGCAATCTTGGGTG